CAAGGGAACCTACAAAAAAAAGAAATCACTGGGGCATTTGTGAGACGTGTCTGTAGGTGTGTCTGTGGGGTGTTTCCAGAGAGGGTTAACTGAGGGCAGGAGGCTGGCCCTGGCTGTGGTAGACATCATGCCATGGATGGCTTCTGGACTGAGCAAAAGGGAAAGAGAAGCCTAGCTAGCTCAGTACTAACATTCTCCTTCCTCCGCGTCCCCGTCCTCCGGCATGGAAGGAACTACAACCCCTGTTCCCATAACTTTGAACTCCATCACACTTTCTCTGTCATTGTGGACACTACCTTTTCCAGCTATGACCAGAGTAAATCATGCCAAGCATAAGCTGCTTTTGGTCACAGTGATAGGAAACCAATATAACTACCTAGGGTGGTTATGTTTTCTATGTCCACACTCAAGGCCTTTAAGCTGATAGGTCTTGGCTGTGGTTTCACTACCAGATGGAGGAGTGAGGGGGTCACTTCAATTCTTTTGTAGCATGGAAGACAGTAGTGCATGGCGATGCCGTGCAGACTCACACCAAACACACACTTCCTGGCTTGCTGGTGTTCTCTCAAGCTTTCTACTCAGTGCTGTAAGCATCTAGTGGGAATGGAGATCGAAAACATTGCGAGAATTTGGAAAAATGCAGGTGCCCAGCAAGCGTCAGCCTTCAGTACAGTTATTGTTACCTACTTTTGCTTCAAAAAATTTAAAAAATTTTTATGTGTATGAATGTTTGGCTGCATGTATGTGTGTGCACTGTTTACATGCACAGTGCCTGTAGAGGTTAAAAGAAGGAGGCAGATACCTAGAAACTGGAGTTATAGATGTTTGTCAGCCACCATGTGCTGCTGGAAATTGAACCTAGATCCTCTGCAGGAGCAGCCAATGCTCTTAATTACTGAGCCAACTCTCCAGTCCCTATTGTTAGCTTTCAAGAAAGAAAAATAGGGGTTGGGGATTTAGCTTAGTGGTAGAGCGCTTGCCTAGCGAGCACAAGGCCCTGGGTTCAATCCTCAGCTCAAAAAAAAAAAAAAAAAAAAGAAGAAAGAAAAAAAATTTCTGCTTGATCAGATTTAGAATGAAATATAAGCAAATATATAAAAGTCCATACAGATGTAAATATATACAGATAAAGACATATACATTCAATATGGGAAAAATAAAAGTTATTTAGAACCAGATCAATCTTGGACCACATTTTAGATTTGTACTTTGTGAACTAAAGGACCCTGGGCAAGTGTCTTGACCTTGTTAAATATCATAATTCTTGTCCCAGGAAATGGTTGTGACTATTATTCAATGCTAATGGAAAAAATAATTTTAAGATAGACCTAGATTTTAATTCTGATTCTACTATTTACTTTAGACAAAATACTCAACTTTCATAAGTAGTTTCTTTCTCTGTGAAATAGAAACTGATAAGTGTGCCTAACATGGTTATTGGGAAGATTCATTAAATCTGTACAGCACATTTAGTGCAATGGTCAGTATACAGTATATGCCTAATAAATGTTAGCTGTTATTATTATAACAATAATTACTATTATTATATAAAAGTCAGTACTTAATAAAGGCTGCTACAGCTATCTCTTCTTTCTTAAGCCTTCTACTGATGAGAAATATCTAAGAAATGGATAACTGGGCCAAAGGCAAGGTTATCCAAACTTTGCTATCGGTCACTAGAGTTGGTTGCAGAGAAGACTCGGCAGTCAAGAATGCATACTCATTTTGCAGAGGACTCAAGTTTGGGCACCCACATCAGGCAGCTTACAACTACCTGTAACTCCATCTCTGGAGAATTCCATGCCCTCTTGGGGTTTCTATGGGCACCTGCAATCACATGCACAGATCCACACACCAATATGCATTATATGCACAATGAAAAATAATAAAAACAGATCTTTTGGAAAGGGCTTGAAGTCCACTTAAGACACTAATGACATGCATACTATGAGTATCTCAGAATTAGCTTTCCTTTGTGATTGTAACTCAACATTTCCCATCTCTTTTGTTTATTGCTTCCGTATATTCAAGTGTGATTGATCTACTTCTCTCTCTTGCCTGCTTATCAACTTGACTCTTGGTGGTTCCCTTAAAAATCTGAATAAACTTCTTATACATTAGAAACATTATAATAGTAAATGCAAATCCTCTCCCAGAAACTGGAGCCAAAGAGGTCAAGTACTGATGAAGATTAGCAGACATCTCTGCCTGGCCAAGAACACTTGGGGAGTGTGTGTGTGGGCATCTGTATCCTACATTGGGACCTCAACTATTCCTATAGCTTTGACATCCATATCTGAGCCTCTGTGGCTCTGTGTAACAGTGTCATCCTATTTCTAACTATAGGAATTCTTTTTAGTTGTTTGTTGACATCTCAAACCTATCAGAAATACAGGTGAATCCATCATGTCTCAAACAGCTAACTTGCCAAACTCCCCTATCTAGTCCCTTATTGTCCTACCCAAGAGTTCTTGAAGCTGGTTCTAAGGAGGTATAAAGACCCCAGCTTCTCTCAGACAGGCCCTTTGAGCTATCTGAAGTTACAGTCTTGGATTACATAAGTCACTTACCCTGAGTTTTATTTGGAAAATATAATGATCATACTTTTCAAGACAATGAGCAGAGGAGACAGTTGGGTTCCATGCTATCCTGGGCCCTTTTTGCAGGTCACTGTCTACTACCGAGATGAATGGACATGGGCCTGGAGCAGGGTAGATGATCCCACAGAGATGTGAGTATTCAACAGTGGGAGCCAAAGTAAGCAGGAGAAAAGAAGGTGCCAGAAGTCACTGCTTTAGACATTTGGTCCAGTCATCTACTTTCCTGAAGTGTTTTTAAATGTCAGCGGTGGTGATGTTTCAAGCCATTTGGATGATTGTTTTAATAGTTTAACAGGTCTACATTTGATTTTTGTAGTAGCATTGTGGCTCTTTCTGTTGGTGCTTCACTCAGGACGTGAGCATCATGAAATCAGAAGATGTGTTGCAGCCTTCCCCCTAACATGTAACCTTTCAGCATTTACCATCATCTATGCAGAGACCCATTTCCCCTATAGTCAACTCATGTGGGCGACATGTATTGTGGTAGAGAAATCACAAGGCAGGGGTTGAGACAACTCTAAAACTGCTTTGACGGAGCAGGAGGGACAGCTAGGGGACAAGAGCACTTGTAAGCATGAAGACCTGAGTTTGGATGGAGCTCAGCACCAGTGGATAGAAAACGCCAAGTATGGCAGATGCTTGTAATCCCAGAGATGTAAGGGACAGAGACAGGAGGACTGATGGGGATTGCTGGCCACCAGCCAGCCTAGTGCAAGGCTCAGTGAGAGACCCCGTTTCACAGAAGTAAGACAGAGAGTGATAAAGCAAGACATTAGCCATCTTCCTTTGGCTTCCAGGATTGTTCAGACACATACACAAGTGCATCCCCCTCACACACATATACCACACCCAGACAATATAAACACAACCAGAATAATTAGTAGAAAGATGCCCTACATATGCTTCCTCCATTTTCCTTCAGCTGTCATATTTTACACAACTCGAATACAGTACAAAATAAATTCCCTTGAATGGAATTTAAAACAAATTGTATCACTATTTCTAAGACTACTAGTTTGTATAAATACTGCCACTGGAGTTCCCAGGACTATAATTTAAAAAGGGCCAAGTTGATACCTAAATGCAAGCTCTCCTCCCTCTCACTATTTCCTAATTCTGCCCTTGCTTTCCCCTCATACATAATGGCCACCTTTACTTAAGAGACAAGAAGCATTCCCAATCACACACTGAGAACTGCAGTTTAGGAACCTTGGGACTGTGTATGCTTTCAAGCTATCCATATGTAGGTTTAAGGTCCACCTGGGAATGGGGCGACACCTGTGCAGCCAATATGCATATGTATAGACACACACAGGTGGGTGCCGATACACTTCTTTCAGAAGGACAGACTGTTTACATGGGTGGAGGGGATGGAGCCTGATTCTCAAAAGCAGAGTGTGGTGAGATCTCCATTCTCAAACCTCAAATGTTACCCCGCCACCCAGTGTCATATAGGAGAGGAGAGTGAAGACAGAGCTTTGGGAATAGTGTCTCTGTTTCTGCAAAGACTAAAAGCATCCCCCAGTCTGAAGCTTGTCCTTGGAGGAGTTTCTTTTGGGGTGAGGAAGAGAGAGGTGGTCGTGGGAGGGGCTGGGAGGAACTGGGAACCTGGATGACTTCACCGACTCTCTAAACTCCAGTTTATGCCATACATTGCAGCCTGGGCGATATCTTGGATTTCCTCCCACAGTTCACGGCAGAAGACTTGGATAAGTCTGTGGGTCTGTACCCGAGCAGGGAAAAGAAAATGGTTGATTTATAACCCAGGTAATCACTTCTGAATTTAATTTGCTAGTAACTCATCCCTCCCTCACCTATAACACAGTATTTATTAATAAGGTCATTCGTTAAATCCCGTAGAAATTCCTCCTTACATCACCACACCGCAGCCTACCCCACGTGTCTAAGTCCCATTCACCCACTCAGGACTCTGGCAAGTTCCTGGATCTCCCGCCCTGGGCCTCCGGCTTGGAAGGAACAGCTGCCAGGACCAGCACTCAGGAGTGCCCCACAATAATTCACGGTCAAACCCTTTCCCTAGTGGCCTGTGAGGCACCCGAGCCAAGCCTCTGCGATGTCTGAACCCCTCCCAGCTGGGGTTGAACCCCAGGTGTCCTGAACAGGTGGGGATCCACACGCAGAGAAAGAACTCGCTACATTCTCCCTCCTCCCTGCGGAGTCCTGGACTCACAGCCAACCCCGCTGGGGACGAGAGCCTGGAGAGAGCACCAGAAGGCATCTGGAAACCCACAGGGAGAAACCACACAGGTTCCCTCTTCCCACCCGGTAGCAGCAACTGCACAGAGTCCCAGCAGGTGCCCGGAAAGCAGAGCGGTTCCCTGGGTTCCCAGCGACCAGCGAGATGCAGGCCCAGCCCCAAAGGAGGAGTTCGCTTCCTACCTGATCCTGTCCTTCTCTGCCCTTCGGAGTTCCTCATTTCTTTCCAGTACCTGGAGGATCTTCCTGGCTTCTTCCTCGTTTAGGAAACTGAAATCAAACCCCTGAGGAACTTTCGTCATTTTTCCCTCCCGTGCGCGAGTTATGTGTACTTAAGCTCCTTGGCGCCTCCTGTTACAAAGCCATTTTTCAAGATAAAGAAGACTATTTTTCCCGAACTTGATCCCATAGCCCATAATAGCTCCGCGCCTTTGAAAAGCTAAAACCACAAACCTAGGGACCGACCTACACACACAGGGCTCCTTTTGACAACACCTTAATGACATGTTTCTTTCAACCTGTCCAACCGAGATACAAAGTGAGTGACTAGATCAGGAGAAGGAGCCAATCGCATTTGGGGGGGCGGGCCTTACCGCGTCTCCTCCCTCCCCCCCTCCGCCCACCCTCTATGTGACTTGTTAAGCAAACAAGCCTACATAATTCTGTCTCTAAGTGAGGCTTACCCTTAAGTGTTAGCCTCAAAGTATTTGCTTGACAGTTACTGTTTGCTGGAAGAACTTGAGCTTGGCTAGTAGAAAGACTGAGAAGGAGAACCGTTCATAACTAATCCCGTCTTTCACTGATTAGAAGGAGGAAAGCGGGTAGGAGATTGAAAGTTAGCGGGAGGGTTACCCTATTTGAAAGACCAGGAAAGGTTAAACTACTCCAGGACCATTTGTCTCAGAGGGACTCAGGGAAGGACTGGCACCAGGTCACCCTTAGAAAGGAATTATTTGCCGACCTCACAAACACACTCCTATTGTCTCATAGAAAATCATTCTCAGACTTTGGAAAGCCGACAAACGAAAAGCCCCACATATATTATTTTAGCAGGCAGCCCCGAGGCAAAGGGCATTAGAAGGTACCTGTGACTAGTGCAAATTGCAATCCTGTGCACCCACAGAAACTGCTTTTCCTAGAAAGACAATTACTCCATGATGAAATAAAGTCAGATATTTCCTAAGATGTGCATCCATGTGCTTTTTTTTTTTATTATAAATGCCTTTCAAGAAAACATGTTTCTCTACATAAAAACAATTTTGAGCGATGGACACGCATGCCCCCAACACCCTTAATTTGGTCCTTTCTGATGTGATGGTAATGGCTACTGATATTTACAAGGTATGTCCACACATACCGTCTTTTCGTGGTAAATAAACCATACTGGGTATCACCCCAGTAAAAGAAAAATAAAGCCATGAAATAAAGAATGGCTGGTTTTGCCTCTGGTCCCTTGACTTAACTTGATTATCACTGATGGATGTCAGGACAGCTACCCTTTGAGATAACTTTTTGTGGGTGTCTATTATCTGCATGAAGTGGGGATCCATTCTATGCATCCATATTGTACAACACAGAACTCCTTCATAAGTCATCTCCATGTTAATGATGGTGGTTTGGAAATCTGTCATGCACACACTGTTCAATTACTCTTGCATGTTCCTTTATTCACTTATTAGGCATACTGATTTTCTAATGTGGGTAGTGATGGAGTTTTGCCCTGTTTTTATCAGTGAACCGATTGCAGTTAAATTATTTTGGATCTTGTTACATGAAGCCATTGTGTACACACCATAGTCCTTTTCTCATAATCCAGTGAAGGACTTAACATGAATAGAAGATATAATTACTTAATAAAAACAATCCCTTGGGCCCGATAGCTGGTTTAGAGGTTAAAAGCAGAGCACCTAGGTCAAGTTCCAAGCATCCACATTGGGCAACTCACAGCCACCTGTAATTCCAGTGCCAGGGGGATCTGATGCCTCTGATTTCCTTGAGCACCTGCATTCATGTGCACATATCTATACATCTATTAAAAGTAATGAAAGTATTCAAATGCCATGGAGCACAACAAAAGAAATTAGTTTTAGCTAAGTGGGCCAGTGCAGAGGATGTGGTGTTGGGGCTGAAACATGAGGAGTAAGACTTGAACAAGAAGAAAACAGACGGAGGTGGGAGAAGACATGTGAGTCTATTCTAGGGAAGGAGAACAGCAGTGGCCAGATCACAGAAACTCACTCTCAGGATACTCCCATATTCTCTCAGTTCCTTTGATCAATGGCCACACGATGAACACAAACTTTGAATCTAAAAAATATGGGGTGTATACAAGGACTAGTAAGTACTTGATCTGCTTTGCCTGAAACATATATTTTCTTTTCTTTTTGAAACAAGGTTTCATGTAGCCAGGCTGGCCTCAAAAATCCCTGTAGCTGAGGTGTGTAGCCATCAGATGGCCCTGAATATCTGATGTTGTTCCCTCCACTTTCTGAGTGCTGGGATTATAGGCACATACCACCACACTCAGCCTAGAGCATACATTCTCAATAGGAGGAAAAACTTACTCTTTTTATGTATAAAGCAAAGATATACTCACAACACATAGGTAGATAAAAATATATATAATATTAATATTACATGAGGGGTGATTAGTTTTAAAAAGATTTCGAGAGGTACAGTAATGAAAAGGTTTAGGAGTGCTGCACTACAGAGTACAAGACGAATAAACAAGGCGAGATCTGCCGTGAATGTTGTCCTAAGGAACATACTTTTTGCTACACGAACAGTGCAGAGTCAGCTCAGGTTTCGAGGGAGATGATGACATAGTTGGAACTGAACTTTTGGAAGATGACTTAGATGGCCAGACACGGAAGAATAGATAGAAGAAGAAAGGCATGTATGGAGTTTGAAGTACCTATAATTCATCCATACACAATACCCAGCAAGGGCTGGATGCCTTGAAGAAGGGATAGAGAAGTCATTTATTTAAATAGGGTTGTCAGAACCTAGAGAGTAAATGGGATGGACACAGAGAAGGGTGTACAGGGAGGAAGACTGAGCCTAGAGCTTCAGTGACCAGCCCCATCGTTGGCACCGAGTCAGGCTTCATCCTTCATTATGACACCATAGGGCATACTATTGGGAAAGTTTTATCCTGGCATTTTATAATGAGAATTTTTTGGGGGGGGTATCCTGCAAACCACACAAGTTGCTTAGAATGTTTTCATCGGGATTATGACCACAGCATTTCGAAGTAAAACTATCTCTTTTTCAGCCAGCTGTATGCAATCTTAGCATCTGGTAACCCTTGGCAACCTCCTGCCCAGGCTTTCAGCTAAAGAGATACTCATCAGTTTGGATTTTAATACTAAGAGCTGGATAGGAGAAAAAACAATCTTTGGGAACCTGCCATGGTCTATCTTCTCCGTGTTGTCGGCCAAGTCCCAACAGAAGGATTCTTGATAACCACTTAGCCCAGAGAAAGGCAGATCATATCACTTCATTGAATGTCTCGCCTTTTGCCACTGAAAGTCACTTTGACCCCGGTGGGCCGCTGAGAAGCAACGCTGAGGGCCAGGGCGAGTTTTCTCACAGTAGTATCTTTCTTACCTACTTTGGCTCGTCTCCCTGGGTAATCTCTTTCAACAGCAGATTATGGGGTGCGTTTGGTGGCAGCGCTCAGTTTAACAAGCAAATACATGTCAGCTTGATAAAGAAGACATTGGTGTCAGGCCTTTATTAGTAATGAAGAGGTGTACAGCTCCGAGAACAGAGCTTCTGTATTGTTCACTTCGGCTTGCACTGTTCTGTTTGGTAACTGGCTTTCCAAATCCAGATAGAATCTTCTGTTTCAGTTCCACCCAGGCTCAGTCCTGCATCCACAGCTATGGAGTCAAGATTCCATAAAAAAAAAAAACAGGGCCGGGCGGTGGTGGCGCACGCCTTTAATCCCAGCACTCGGGAGGCAGAGCCAGGCGGATCTCTGTGAGTTCGAGGCCAGCTTGGGCTACCAAGTGAGTCCCAGGAAAGGCGCAAAACTACACAGAGAAACCCTGTCTCGAAAAACCAAAAAAAAAAAAAAAAAAAAAAAAAAAAACAGACCTCAAGACTCTCTAAACCTTTGCTCTTTTTTTTTTAACTTATAAAATGAAGATCATAACAGAACCAGTCATACCGGCTTACTGTCAAAATTCAATGGTGACACAAATAGACCAACTAGCAGAGATAACACACAGCTTATATTTAATAAATGGTATCTATGAATAATGTTCTTTGGACACAGAGACGCCTACAATGTAAAGAGCACGATTTTCTCGACTGTGAAAGCAGCACTTATTTGCTGGGCTGAGAAAAATTGGAAACCGTACACAGGAGTCCTATAGAAGATGGGTTAGTTACTTTTCTTGCAGCTATAACGTCATGCCTGAGAAAAGCAACTTAGGAAGGGAGGGTTCATTTTGGCTCAGGGTGCGAGGCCTGTCACAGCAGGGAAGATGTGCAGGTGTCACTAGCTGTGGCTATGGGAGCCTGAGGTGGCTGGTCACATGGCATCCACAGTCAGGAAACCCCAAGAAACGCATGCTGGTGCATGCTGCTTGCTTTCTCATTTTCAGTCAGTCTGAGCCTCAGGGCCAAGGCATAGAAGACCACATTTAGAGTGAGCCTTCTCTCAGTCAAACCCTCTGGAAATGCCCTCACAGACTCACCCACTATTTGCTCTTCCTGTGGTGCTAACTCCTGACAAGACGACGATGAAGATTCACTGTCACAGATGGAGACTCAGCTCTCGGTTTTACTGTTGCTGGTGGAGCTTTATGTAAGAATGTGGCTAAGTTCTGCAGTCGGGGGGCTTTTCTTGCCAACTCTTCCAAATCTGCCTCGAGGAACACCAGAGCAAGGCTTGTGTTGGGAGCAGACATCATTGGTGATGTTGTGTGGCAGAGATAATGATTACCAAGTGCTCCCAGCCTTCTAATGGAGGAGCATCGTCCCATGAAAAGCATGCATGAAAGAATTCATATTCTTCCCACCCTGGTCAGATAACTTACTCCTCTACCTACCCTGGAAAGAAATAAGTATGGTCAGGCAGAGAGGCTCAATGAAATTCTAGTCATGGAAATCCCCTCAGAAGAATGAAGAAGTGTTTATTCCCCATAATAATGTTCATCATATATAAATGTAAGAATGCATAAAAGAACAAAAAATTCTTGGTTATTTAATGTATATGAATTATTCACATGACTATTTTATGTTTACATTTTTTAAAAATGACACTATATGAAAGTGCCCTATAATATATAATGTCCCTTGTGTGGCTGCATAGACTTCCCCAGGACAATGCAATACCTTGGACCCTTGAGTAATATGAACTTCATGAGGGATTCATAAGGATGTCTGGGGCATTTAAAGAAGTCACTGAGGCCTGATGTGACAAATGGCGTAAGTATATGATTTGGGAACCCAAAGCACCAGATGAAGCAAGAAGACAAGAGCTTCTCGCTCACTCACGCCAGAGTTTGAT